TTCTGCCCCTACTGGCCCCTACAACCCTACAACGATTGGTTATGAGGAAACACCTCTATATATATATATATATATACATATATATATATATACATATATATATATATATACATATATATATATACACATATATATATATATATATATATATGTGTATATATATATATATATATATATATATATGCTCACGCCCCCCCCCCCATGATCCACCCGAACCTGCTTCTTGCAAACAGTGGATCATGGGAGGTGGGCAGCCTCGGATGCGAAAACACTGCCAGGCACCAATTTCCCCAAAGTTTGCAAAGCTGGAAGTGTGAAAACATCGACAGGCACCAATTTCCCCAAAATCCCCAAACTCTGGGCAACTATGGCCCGGCACGCTTCATAGATGCAGGGATTTTGGGGAAATTGGAGCATAGCGAGGTTTTGGCAAATCCAGCGTCACAAACTTTGGGGAAATTGGTGCCTGGCTGTGTTTTGGCAACCTCGGATGCGAAAACACTGCCAGGCACCAATTTCCCCAAAGTTTGCAAAGGCGGAAGTGCGAAAACATCGACAGGCACCAATTTCCCCAAAAATCCCAAACTCTGAGCAACTATGGCCCGGCACGCCTCATAGATGCCGGGATTTTGGGGATTTTGGGGAAATTGGAGCATAGGGAGGTTTTGGCACTTCCAGCGTCACAAACTTTGGGGAAATTGGTGCCTGGCGCGGTTTGGCAACCTCGGATGCGAAAACACCGCCAGGCACCAATTTCCCCAAAATTCATACAGCTGAACTCTGACGGCCTCCATAGATGCCAGGATTTCGGGGATTTTAGGGAAATTGGTGCCTGGCGAGGTTTTGGCACTTCCAGCCTCACAAAGTTTGGGGAAATTGGTGCCTGGCGGTGTTTTGGCAACCTCGGATGCGAAAACACTGCCAGGCTCGAATCTCCAAGATTCCTGAAACCAGAAATGCAAAAATCATAGAAGAACAGCCGTACCATGTGCTCACACATGAGCCTTCAATTGCTTCCGTTCTCAAGTGTGCTCTTGCTTCTTTCATCGAACAAAGTCATAGCTGTTGTTAAGATCACCTTTGCTCAATGTAAGAAATAGAAGAACAGCAGTACTTTAGAATATTGAAACCTGCTTGTGTTTGTGGATGCTTTAGAACGTTTTTTGCGAATGCACATGTTCGTTGAACTGTACATCAGGTTTAGATGCTGTCGAGTTCTTAAACTCTTGCCCGTAGCTTGAACAAAGAAGAAGTATTCCTTGTGTTCTATATTACCTCACAAACTGAAGAAGCTGATAAGCTCCGATATTTCATATCATTACATATAAGGTGCCATTCAGGCGACACTGGGGAACCTAGAAAATGAGCTTTCAATTGCTTCGATTACTGGCGGTACTAACTCTTCTCTCGTGGAGCAAAATCATAACCGAGTCAAGGTCAACCTTGCTCAAGAAGTAAGTCCAGTGTTTGACTGTTTTCCTTAAAGCATAATGAGAGAAGATGTTTTTCCACCATTTCTTGGAAGCTATGAGGAGAGGTCTGGCGCTGTTTCATGCCGTATTCAAAGATGGCAGGAGCTATATAACTCTTGTGAGTAGCGCGGTGCAACGGAGCTCGATTATGTGTTCTGAGCCAGGATCGTCTTGCATCTGTTAAAAGAAAACAAATGTGTTCAATAACGAATGATTTCCAGATACATGCTTGTCTTAATTCCCACGAAGTATAAAGCGTAAGAAGCTCGACATACTATGCTTGTGACCGAATGTATTTGGAGTTTGGTGGAGGGAGACCATGTCTTTCCCTAATCACTCCGATTTTGTGGTATTGGTATACTGCAAGAGCTCGTTGAGTTCCAGCCACTGAGTTCCAGCGACTGACAAGGGACTAAGGTGGCTTATTGTGTTTCTTTGTGCTGAAACAAGATTTCTATTGATAACACCACCTGAACAAGAACAACCATGCTTCCCTTGTCGGTTGAAATTTTGAAGATATGATGTTGTTCGAGGTTCCCTTGAAGCATGAAGATACACGGGGATTCCTTTCCATGTCTGATGGGCAACACCTCTGTTTAGTGTGGTTACAATGTTGCTAGTAAGCCAAACATACCACTGGCATGTTTGCTTTCACTGAAGTTGTCCTTACAGCTTATGTTATGAAGAGAAGAGCAGCTGTGTCTTTTCAAACTGTACATCGTAAGTAGTTCGACAAACTCCAAAATAGGAAGGCCAAGTTTTGACTTGAACAGCAAGAGCTGATACGAAGCAGTGGACAAGAGCGCGGCAGCAGAACAAGAATCCAGAACCAGAATCTGGTTTCGGTTTTGGCTTGTTTGTATATGATATAAAAAGCGAAAAGCCGCATCTGTACATGTACATGAACTGCATAAAACAGCGTAAATACCGATAGATTCTGACTTTAGCAATGCGCATCTTGTACCAGAGGACAGTACAGGAGTAGTTGAGGAGAAGGCTGGGGTGGATCATGGGGGGGGGTGTGACCATATATATATATATATATATCATGTACGAAATATTACCAAGCTAATTACTCAAACCCTCGACTGAATTTACACTGGCTTCCTGGTCTGGGGATCAGGTTGCTTTAGGATGCAGGATTAGGCGTGGGGCTGCGCAAGAAGGAACCGTCATAATGTAGCTTGAGTGGTTTCAACATCAGATGCAGCAACGCACTTCCAGAACAACAGCGTCTATAGCAATTAACCCGTATAGTAGCCCTGAAGCTACAATTATTAGTCAGTATGGTAACCCCCGTAAGGAGCGCTTAACAACCCGCAACACCCTTCCGGCCCAAAAGCTACAACAAAAAACGGTGCGACGAAAGCTCTTTTGCCAGCTCCCCAGACCGCGCTGCTTCCCAGATCTTGGCTAGCTGCTGATAGGTTCACGGACGGTATGTAAGCTAAGGGTCACTGCATGTCCATGGCATATTTGCTCGCAGTGCTTGCCCTAAATACACTATGCTGTTTAATTACGTAACCAAATACACAACTCAGTATGTATACATACATACATATATATATACACACAGACACAAACTACAAATACACCACCATGCATATACAACTGCCATTCTCGCACGGCATACGTGTGCTAAAAATATAACATGTTCAGATATGCGGTTGTATGACTGACGGTCTCCGACTGTCTGTGTGTCTGTCTGTACGCATGTATGTATGTGTGTATGTATGTACTTGCACGGGACTTAGTAATTAGGGTTGATAATTCAGGTAGCTACACCTATAATGACTTATAACTCCAATTAAGGTACTTATAACCTAACTTACTAAGTCCCCTGATCCTCCGAGTATGTATGCATGCATGTGTGTATGCGTATACTCAGGAAGAATTACATACTGTATACACGCTTACATGCAGGCAGGCACGCAGGCAGAACTACAAACATCCGCGCCAGTGCCTATCTGTGTACACCCACGGAGAGTCTGCCTTGTGCGGGCTTCAACCTTCAGCCGTTGCACACAGAATGAAATGGCGCCTGTTCAAGAGCATCTGGCCCCATAATTCGCTCTTGTTGGTGAGGATCCCTTTGCATGCCTGTGTAATGGGTTGTCCTTCAAAAGGATCTTTAGAATACCCCACCTTCGAAAGGGTCTTTGCAAAACCCTCCGTAACACACATGTCCGCACACGTCAAATCTTGACATCCGCCCCTGAACCTCCTTTGCAGCAGCCCCGGAAACCGAGGGAGGGGGCCCCCATGCTCTCTCCCTCCATTCTCCGCCTGGACCCTTATCACTTGGTTTTGGAGCAGGGTTTCACTATACCCTTAACCCCTAACCCCTAACCCTGAACCTTCAACTGTAGAGGACAGTAAGTAGCAATCGAGGATCGAGCTCGTGGCATACCAGGCGGAGAGAACTCCATCTACAAACCCAGAGAGCCCAATATGACGTTTAGGGTCTAGGGCTTAGTGATCTTGGTGTAGCGTTTAGAGTTTATAGGGTTTAGTGTAGGGTTTAACTAGGGTAGGAACCTTCTTTAATTACGGTGGTATTCGGCTCGCTGGGAGGTTTGTCCAACGGCGCTCAAAGGCCCACGGCCTTTGGCTCTCGAATCTTGACAAGCTTTGTACAGATTCAGACGCCCGTGGACTCGACGAGAAATTCCTGCGATTGCCGAGTTTGGAAAGGCCTGAGCTTCCTGGGAGTACTTAAAGGTTCATGGGCACTCATAAGCGGGGTTTAGGGTTCAGGGCTTTAGGCTTCAGGGTTTAGGGTTAAGGGTTTAGGGCATTAGACTCTGGATGCCCCGCCATGCCCCCACAGTGGGCCCGGTTCTGGGTTTTAGGTCTCGGACTTGGCGGTTTTGAGTTTAGGGGTTCTGCTACTGGTACATTCTACTGTTACTGCTGCTACTCCTACGGATGCTGCCAGTACTCTTTCTGTCGTTCTTCTTCTTGCTGCTCCAAAGCACCCAAAACCCTAAAACACCCCTAAACCCTAAAATCCTAAACCCTATAAGCCCTAAACCCCAGAACCCGGCCAGGGGAGCCAGACAGAATTCAGAACCAGCCAATCCTTCGCCCCTTCATCCCCAAACCCGAAATCCTAAACTCTCAAACCCCTGTGACCGAAACCCAAAACTCCTAAGCCGCCAGATCCAAACCCTAAACTCCCGCATCTAAGCCCTGAACCCCTACAGTAAACGCTGTACTGAACACCAGAAAGTTGGAGCATGGATTTTGGGGTGCTTCGTGCGGGGATTCCCTATACTTTACCTCAAAGGTATGAAGCCGTTAAGCCCCAAAACTTTAAGCCCCTACAAACCCGAAAACCTAAGGCCCTCAACTCCAATATTTCAGCCCGAAACCCCTTCATGGGTAGTTATATAAGTTCCCTAATATGGGTTGTAAGTATAGTTACCCTGCTCATAACCCTACTTATAACTACCCCTAAGCCATCCTTTTAAAGGAACCCTACTTGTAACCCTACTTATAACTACCTCCAAGTACGCCCCTTGATCCTCAAGGTGCGCCGAGTGCCGCCCTGCGCGCTGCGGCGCGGAGCTCGGCGGCCTCAACAGGATTCGTTTATAGGGCCACTTAGGGAAAAATTAGGAGTTTGAGGGTTTAAGGGTTTAGGGCCTATATAGGGTTTAGGGTTTATGTTTATATAGGGTTTAGGGTTTATGTTTATATAGGGTTTAGGGTTTATGTTCGTATAGGGTTTAGGGTTTAGGTTTACGGCTTTCTTAACAGCGACACTGTGCTGCTTTCGGGTTTAGTGGAGTTTACATAGGGTCAGAACTTTCCTGCATCGCGAGTGCAACCCGGACTCTGCATTGCAAAGGCTCAGGAGCAGCTGCGGCTTCCATGCGGCACCCCAAACCCTAAACAAAAAAAACCTAAAGCCCTGAACCCTAAACCCCAAAACCCTAAACCCTAAACCCCTAAACCCTAAACCCCCGAAACCCTAAACCCCTGAACCCTAAACCTTAAAAGCCCTAAACCCTGAACCTTAACAGCCCTAAACCCTTAAACCTTAAAAGCCCTAAACCCTTAAATCTTAAATCTTAAAAGCCCTATAAACCCCTAAAGCCTAAACCATGAACCTTAAACCTTAACAGTCCTAAACCCTAAACCCTAAAACCCTAAACCCTAAAACCCTAAACCCCTGAACCCTAAACCCCTAAACCCTTAAACCTTAAAGGCCTTAAACCTTAACAGCCCTAAACCCATGAAAACATCCACCCCGAGCCCCGGAGCCCTTCACTTGACACTACCTCGTACCTGATCCCTCAAGAACCTGCATGTTTGAGGGCTCCCCATTATGATTTCCTTATATAAGTCCTTCATAATGTAGATTTTGTACTGATTTCCTTGTAGAAGTCCTTCATAATGTAGATTTTGAAGTGATGTCCTTATATGAATCCTAATAATGTAGCATTTATAGGGTCCAGGTATAGCCTAGGGGCTGGAATCTGAGTTGAGATTCGTCAGGCAAGCCACAATCCATCCCCGCAGCCCCAAGCCCTTACCCAAGACTTCACCATCTTCACCCATGAAACCCAACACCCACAACCCTGACCCCGATAGTCTGGTCCCTTCTCCTGAAGAAGACGGATAAGGGGTCCTGAATACAGCGATGTGCTGCAAACCCTCCCGCAAACCCCCAACTCCAAGCAAAACGCCCAGACCCCCAAGGCCATGACCCCAAACACCAATGTATATTCAAACACTGAACTCTGAGCCCTAAACCTCAGAAAATCTCAACAATCCCTGAACCTTGAGCCCGAATCGTCCAAAGCCCCCCCTCAACCCAAAATCCATAAAACCCAATGGCCCACGAGCCCGAAATCCATGATGCAGCCTCGGCTGTCTCGGAGTCGCTCTGCTGGAACACCTGCAGCGGAGAGGGGCGCTAACCACTACGGTTTAGGGCCTACTTAGGGTTTTAGGGTTTAGGGTGTAACACCTTAAATGTAGGGTTTAGGGTTTTAGGGTTTAGGGTTTAGTGCTTGTTGTCATTGTTGAAGGTTTGGGTCAAGGGGTGTTCAAGGAATCAGAGTTCAGGGGTTTAGGGGGTTTGGGGCCCATTGGTACAATCGTTCGGGGTTTTTGGGGTGGGAAGCTTCGGGGGTGCTGGATTTACTTTTGAGGCATCTTGGGATTTGAGCTTTGGAGCTTTGGCTTGCTTGGAGGTTCATTGGTAGCTATAGGTGGCGTTATACGTCCCCCAATGGCCCAATATGGGTGATAAGTATAGTTACCCTGCTTATAACCCTACTTATCACTACCCATGAACCTCCAAGTGGGGTCCGGGCTTGGTCTGATCGTGTTGACTTTTTGAGTTCGCTGTTCGGGGATGAAGGACTCCAGCCTTGAAGTCCAAACTCTCACACCCTGAGCTAAGGGGTAACCCTAAGACGCGAAACCCAATGTCCAAAACCTGAACTGAAGCATAAATCCTAAACCAAAACTCTATAATTACACCCTACATCCTGGAGAACCCCAGTCAGAAAATCCCAAATCGTACAGCTCTCAGTCATTCGAAGGCCAAAACTTCCTAAATTGATCTTGAAAAGTCCAAGACAGCTGCCGTGCGCGTTAAGCCCGACGAATCCTAAGCCCTCGGGTTCCGAAAAGCCTCAGGGCTTGGCATCTGGTATTCAGGGTTTAGAGTTTAGAGCTTAAGCCGCAGAGCAACAAAGACTCTTGATGATGCTCTAGACTCTTGTAGAACCTTCCTAGGCATTACAAAGCTCGATAACCCGCATAGAAGCCTTCTGGCACCTTCATAACTAAACCCCCACACCACTACAGAACCGTTATAGAACCTAGAGACATCCTACAAGCCCTAACCCCTTGAAGAAGCATCATGGAACCTTCAGAGGCTCTCAACACCTATTTCTACGTGTATAGAACGTTTACGACGCCCCAAACCGTCATAGAACTTGTCTCGGAACAGAGCCCGGGATTTCCCGGCCTGTGTCACGGCTCGGGGTCCCACGAAAAGGCGGGGGCCGGGTAAAGCCAAGGCACCTAGAACAGGAGTTGGATGGGGTAATGTAGGAACCCGATTAAGAAACCCTGGGCCTAAACCCCAATTTAATAGGATTCATAACAGGATTTGGATGGGGTATAATGTAGCAGCTGTCTACTTGTTAAAACGAAAAGAGATGCGGGCAATGCGTGCGACAACGACACTGTATTCAGCAACCTCACATATTGTGTTCATTTTTATGATGTAACTGCAGAAAGCCAGCCTTTAACAAGTTCGGGAATCCAAGATGCTTCCTGAAGCGGTGCCTCCCTTCAAAGAAAAGCATGCAGGAAGTGGACACCATCTCAAATAATTAACTAATCACCCGGAAGAAGACAACTAACAACCCCCTGTAAATTTCACATCCTCAACTCCTCACTCACACTAGCGCTGAGCCCCTAAATTCAGACACACTAACCCTAGTATCCTAAGCCTTGAACCACTTAAGCCACAGGAATCCTAACCGTTCAGCCCTAAACCCTGAAGGCTATACTCAGTGGTTCGCTTGCGTGCTGCCCACTGACACCCTAAACCCCTAAACCCTTAAACCTCTGAATCCTACACCCTAAACCTCTAAGCCCTAAACCTCTACACCCTAAACCCTACACCCCTAGACCTCCAAACCCCAAAACCCCTAAACCTCAAAAACCCTATAGATCCCTTAAAGGGACCCTTAAAGGAACCCTTAAAGGAATCCCCATTAAGGAACCCCAAAACCCTAAACCCCTAAACCCCATAATTTCAGCCCGGGAGCCCAGAAGGACGAGCACTGACCCTTCGCAGCACGCTTTGGGCCATGCGCCTCGTTGAGCTTAGGGTAGAAGCCAGAAAGTTGGAATATGATTATCGTAACCCCTTTAAGGTAAAATATAGGGGATCCTACCATTAATCCATATTCCAACTTTCTGGAGTTCCCTTTAGGATCTCAGGGTCTAGGCTGTTTGGGCTCATCGGGTTTAGGGTTTAGGGGTTTAGGGTTTAGGGTTCATAGGGGTTTAGGGTGTTATGGTTCAGGGTTTATAGGGTTTTGGGGTTTCTAGGGTTTCTAGGGTTTGGGGTTTAGGGTCTATAGGGTTTGGGTTTAGGGCTTATAGGGTTCAGGCAGATAGGGTTTAGGGCTTTCAGGGTTTAAGGCAATTTGGGTTGCAGGGTGAGGGCTTGCTTGGATGCGGGGTGAGTTTAGGGTTTAGGGTGGCTAGGGCGTTGGGTTCAGTACTTACCTCCCTGGGGCCTGGGGCTTGGGGTTGATACCGAATAGGCTCCTTTTCAAACCCTTATAGTGGCGCTTATAGACCCCCCATTCTAAAATAGTATTGGTAATCATGAAGGCCCGTATATCCTAAACCGTAAACCCTATAGATCTCTTTAAAGGAGCCCTTATAGTACCCTTTAAAGAATCTCCCAGAAAACCAAAGATTTGCGAAGAACTGTACTGCAATTGCTCAAACTGACCTCGAACCCTTGGATGACCCCAACCCTAAACCCCAAACCCTACTCGGAGTATCTCATGGCTAGTCATAATTGGGCTTAGAAGAAGGGCAGCTATAAGAAAGGGACTTACAACCCTAAACCCCAAACCCAAAACCCTGTCTCGGGCCTACACTCTAAACCCTAAACCTTGATAAACCCTAAACCCTAATAAACCCGAGACCCTAAAACTCAAACCCCTAAACCCGAAAACGACCCCCTCCCCCCCATCCCCTCAAAAGGAGCTCGCCTGCGACACGCCGGTCCATGGAGGCCCACGCCGACCCCGTGGGGTCGCAAAGCAGTGCCTGATCGAGTCAAGACTGTTCCTGTAAAGGGGTACTATAAGGGTTCCTTTAAAGGGATCTATAGGGTGGATATAGGGATTCCTTTAAAGGGGTCTATAGGGTTTCGGACATAGGGGCCTACATGATAACCTGTACTATTTTTGAACAGGGTGCCCTTACCGGGCAGGGCTTTGGGCTTTAAGGTTTTGGGGTTTGGGGCTTAGGGTTTGAGGGGCTTAGGGTGCAGGTCTCATCGGGGTCTAGGGCTTAGGGTTTTGGGGTTTGGGGCTTCGGGTTACTGGGTTCTTGTTAAGGAACTTAATTTAAGTTACCATAATAAGGAAACCCTATTATTTACGATAGATCCCTATTATGGTAACTTAAATTAAGTTCCTTAACAAGGGGCTTTGGGTTCAGGATTTAGGGCTTGGGCTTGGTTTTTAGGGTTCAGGGCTTAGGGTTGAGGGCTTAGGGTTATAGGGTTTAGGGTGCAGGTCTTCGGGTCGAGGGTTGAGGGTTCGGGGTTTAGGTTTCAGGGTTTAGGGTCTTAGGGTTTAGGGTCTTAGGGTTCAGGGGTTTAGGGGTTTAGGGTTTAGGGTTTAAAGGTTTAGGGTCTTGTGGTTCCGGATAAACTGCATCATCTTGAAATGACAGTGTGCCATATGCATATCGGGACTAAGCTTTTCTTGGCCCATGATCCCACCCCATGTTCGCCATCTTGTCTGGAAGGGCCCACATCTCCCGGAAACTTCCGTGCAAGAGTCTTCGCTCGCAGAAGCTCCTACACCCTGAAGGCAGAAGAACCTGAAGCCATGAATCATGAACACATAGACCCCTAACCCCCAACAGCCCCACAGTCTTGCTAGACTCCGCCAACCCCTCATGCTGAGGGTTTAGGGTTTGGGTTTCAGGGCACTCTAAAGCCTCTAAACACCAAGCCCCAATGTTTCCTTTCCCGGTAGTGCCGATTCTGGGCCAGAAGCCCCGCACTGTGTGCCTCCACTTCGCCGGCTAGGACCTGCTTTGGTGGGCTCTGGCTTGTGCCGCTTTGAGGAGGGCCCTAAACCCTGAACGCTAAACCCGAAACCCAACCGCGCGAGCCTCGCTCATCCTTCGGCCGGGGGTTCGAACCCGGAAACCCAAAACCAAAACCCGAAACCCTACACCCACCTGAATCCAAAACGCAGTAACTGGCCCAGAACCCTTAAAGCCCCCAAACGCTAAACCCGAAATCCAAACGTGCGGCCCAAATCACCTGCTTTGCTATGCCGCTCTGTTGGAGCAGCTGGTGTATTCTACTTGCACACAGCTACCTGATAATCTCATATAGCATAGACGCCTGAATAAATCAAAAAGCCTTCAAACCTCGAGATTAATGGCGGGATCTAGGTGATCCGAATGCCCAATACAATGGGATCGTTGTTCATAGTAAACTCTATCATGGAGCAAGGAACGCTCCCTCCGCCTCCTACATCGCTATGGCATACGGTAGACCACGAACCCCGAATCCTAAAGCCTTTCCCACGGCCTCAAGTATTGAATTGGATCTCGGATGCTGCTACCCTGAACCCCTAAACCCTCAAACCCTAAACCTTAAAACCCGAGCCCTTTTCGAGCCTCCACTGTCCGGACCAGCACCAGAAGGCAGCACCGTTGCGGCACATCTGCGATGGAGGGATCAGGGTTTAGGGTGTAGGGTTTAGGGGTGTAGGGGTTTCGGTGTAGGGGATAAGAGTTACCGTGGAGCCCTCGGCTTTTGGGGTATAGGTTTGTTTAGGGTTCAGGCTCTAGGGGTTGGGGCTTGATGTTCTGTCATGCTCTTTCCTAAAGACGAACTAGCTTGACAACGTTCTCACTTCGGAGTGCAGAACTTGGACGTGGCTTGGTTTCCTGGTACTCCAAGGCGTGCCTCAACTGAGGGCACGAGCCTAGGGTCCATTTTAGGGTTCAGGGGATTAGGGTTTAGGCTTTGACAGGAAGGTTTCGGCTATGGGGGGCTTCAGCTTAGGCTTTCGAGCTCAGGGTCTGGGTTTTAGAAGATTCTGGCTGTTGGGTTTACTAGGGTTTTGGGTCGAGGTCAAGTCCCACAGAGCTACAGGAACCTTGATGCCTCGACTTCTACACATGGGGGGCCGCTCCGAATTATGGCTCCTTCGTGCGATGCCCCTTGTACTGTCTTGCTGTTGATGGCACCGAAGAGAGTCCCAACTGTAGAGCAACCACTATTTGGCGAAAGGCTGTGCACGGGCAAACTCCATCCCGCGGTGCTAAATCGACAACACGATGACATTCTGTGCCAGCAGCAACTAACTAGCTGCGAAACGCCATATGAAGAGTTGTAGTCATCTCACAACACATTTCCGGTACAGCTTTGCATTCTATCAGAGAAAAACTCTGGCGAGCGGCCGTCGGTTAGTGCCCGCAAGGACGCGAGGGTTTGACGACCAGGCAGAGAACCGTCACCTGGACACACAGATTGTCTTATGGCACGGCCCGTGGTTTAGGCTCAGGTTTCAACTCAAACCTAAATCACCAAACCCGACTTACCATGGCTTAAAGCACGCAGTTCAGGGCTGCAACTGCCCCTAAACCCTTAACCCTAAACCCAAAACTCTAAACCCTATACCCTGCAACTGTAGCGAGTTACGAGTTACAAGTCAGAAGACCAAGAAAAAATGTCGTTGGCACTTCGCCTCATCGCTCTCTCAGGGTTGGAATGGTTTAGGGTTTAGAGTTTAGGGGATTAGGGGTTTAGGGTTTAGGGTTTAGGGTTTAGAGTTTAGGGGATTAGGGGTTTAGGGGTTTAGGGTTTAGGGTTTAGGGGATTAGGGGTTTAGGGTTTAGGGTTTAGGGTTTAGGGTTTAGGGGATTAGGGGTTTAGGGTTTAGGGTAAAGGGTTTAGAGTTTAGGGGTTTAGGGGTTTAGGGTTTATGGTTTAGGGTTTAAAGGGTTCTCCAATTGTGGGTCCCTGTTTAATTGGTCTCACACATAGTATGGCACCCTTATAGCTTCTAAAAGAAGCCTAAAGCTAACCCTAAGTTACTTGCAATGTCGATCAGTCCCACGATTGTAAGCCCAGCTCTTCTAAGAACGACCGCTATAGTATCAACTCAGACCTCTGCCCAGCAAGAATCCTTTAACGAGTTCATTGTTTGAGGGTTTAGGGTTTAGGCTCTAGGGTTTTAGGGTTTAGGGTTTAGGCTTTAGGGTTCAGGGTTTTAGGGCTTATGGTTTAGGCTTTAGGGTTCAGGGTTTTAGGGTTTAGGGTTGAGGGGGTTTAGGGGCTCTGCTTGAACTTGCCCTGCAAGCCTCCCACAATACGCACAGAGCCCTCAACCCCCAAACTCCTTTTGTGGCGTCAAGCGACGGTTTTGGCCGAGAGTGAAGACATCGAAAGGCAGCTGCAGGTGCTTCCTCGGGCAAGTTGAGCGATGCTGCTGAACCCTAAACCCGAAACCAAGCCCTAAACCCCAGTATAGGGGCCTTAATAATCAAGTAGGGTCTTGTGCCCATTTTACTATAAGTAGAATCAATCAGGAACCCCCAAAATAGTATAGGCAATTATTTAGGCCCCTATACGAATCATCCGTAGTCATCCGTCGTCGTCGCTGTCGAAGTCTTAAACCCGCCACCTTCATTCGTCCACCCCCTGAGCTCCTGAAGACGAGACTTCGGTTTAGGGTTTAGGGTTTAGGGGGTACAACCGGCTGCGATTTGGGGCTTAGGGTGACTAGACCTAAGAGTAACCCAGGAATAAAAAGGGTGCCCTTTTTTGGCTTAAAGGGAGTTATAAGGGAACCTGAACCCTAAAAAAGGGAATAAGGGCCTACTCTGGGTCCTAGGTGAAGAGTTTCGGGATTTTGGGGGTGTTAAGGTTTGGGGCTGAAGGGCAAGAACTAGGTTTTCATTCCGAGAACGGGGACAAATTCAAACCATCTGAACCCCGAAACTTCAGCTGTGGCAAGTGGCAGAGCACGCAGCCATGCGAGATTATCGACCCAGTCGATCTTGCCTGCCACACCTCTTCGCTTAGGGTTGGTAGGGGTTTAGGGGTTTAGGGTTTAGGGGGGTTGTGGTTGGGGCTTGGGGTGTGAAGTAGGGTGTGAAGCTTCCCAATAACCCTAACCCCCTCAAGGGTGCACAGTCGAGGGCTTAGACGAACGACAACCCTGAGCCACCCATACATTCCAGAGGTTTCGGGTCTTGGTGTCCTAAGGCGATTTGGGTTCAAACATGCTCTTGGGGACGTGTCGTGAACAAAGCCGAAAGCAATGTGAGATGACAAGAAGCCTTCTTTACCGAATACCCTGACACCCAAAACAATAAACCCTAAAGCCTAAACCTAAACCAGCCTCTATCGGCTGACAGCTACATTGAAGGCATGGAGCGCGGGGGCTCCGGAAGACACGAGAGCTATGAGCTCTCCAGCTTGAAAACATGTAATATGGGGGCCTCAGTAGTTAGACTAGGGTTTTGGGGTATATTACACCATAATACGTATAAGGAACCCCTACAATAGTAAGGCAATTATTAAGGCCCCCATAGTAAATGCCTAAAGCAACTGCCTTGCACTGAAAAGTGCTGTACTGTCCTGGTGCAGTGCTTCCTGCTCCTCCTCATCCTTCTCCTCCTACTGCTACTACCACTACGACGACGACGAAGAACTACTGCCACTACTACCACTGCTTCTACTACTAGTACTGCGACGACGACAATCAGAACCCCCATCCCTGCCACACCCGCTGCGCTACAACCATTACAGCAACACATCTCGCTGATATAATAACTACAAGTACCAGTCAGAATTGGCTACATCATTCTTCGCCCTGCGGAGGTCCCACTCCAAGCTTTCACAATAAGCAAGCAAAATCAGGGCAAAGACCGAATAGCTGTAAGAAGAAGCGTGACAACCCTGAAAAGTACATGTCACTCGTAACAACCTTAAGACATGCTACGAACAAAACTCTAGCCCTCACCATCTACCCCTAAAACCTCCGATCAAGACGGCACAAATCCTGCACAGACTGGTGCTCGGGATTCTGGCTTTGCACTGAAGCCCATGTGTATTCCTCTGCCTCCATATCCCAAAGCAAGAAACCCTTTAGGGCTCAATTAAGGTTTAAGTACGCTTAAGCTCTTATATAACCCTAAACCCTAAACCCTGACAGGGCTTAAGCTAAAACTCTCAAAACGCAACCCTAAACCCTGACAGGGCTTAAGCTTAAACTCTCAAAACGCAACCCTATACCCTAAACCCTAACAGGGTTTGAGTTTAAACTCTCAGCCCGCAACCCTAAACCCTAAACCCTCACAGGGTTTGAGGTTAAACTCTCGATCCGCAACCCTAAACCCTAAACCCTCACAGGGTTTGAGTTGAAACTCTCGACCCGCACCCGAAACCCTAAACCGTGGCAGGCCTGTGTTCTGCTGCAGTCCGGACTGACGCGCCCCTGGCAGTGCCAGCATCCGCCCCGCAGGTCCCGGCGGCTCATCGTCGTCCTCAGTGATCGTAAAGGGCCCAGCGGCTCTAGGGTTCTAGGGTTCGGGGTTTTGGGTATAGGGTTTAAGGTTTATAGGCTTTAGGGTTCCAGGGTTCAGGGTTTAGGCTTCCACAAACAGTCATGCAACAATGTACGACGATCACGACCCACTACGACCTGAACGACCACGACGACACCACAAAACCAGCGACTGTCACCTGATCTGCTCCATAAAGCAGAAGCCAGAATCCTCGTGCCCTTAAAGTTGAGTATAGGGTTGATCCCCGCACAAATCACAAGTTTCAACTTTCTGGGATTCACTATGAACCCTAACCCCTACACTTTTGACCCTGAACCTTGAACCCCCTCCCAAAAAAAAGAAAAACAATTCCCTAAGCCCTAATTAACCTTCAAACCTAAAAAGACCCTAAACCTCAGAACCGCCAAAATCCCAAATCCGTCAACCTTCTAACCTAAACAGAGCCCAAACAAAGTCTGATGTTACAAAGGATCGGCCTCTGGCGCACCGCGCCCCCGAGCCCAACCTGCGCTCGGTGGAGGCTCCTCGATTATGATGGGAGTCCAAAAGGGGGGTTTAAGATTCTTGGGGTAGGGATTCTTTAATATGAACCCTATTATGGGAACCCTCATCCCTACTAAACCCCCATAGGCTGAAACCCCTGTTGGTCTCTTTTGATACCCTTATAGATCCCTTTAAAGGAACCCCCTATAGATCCCTTTAAAGGAACCCTAGGGATCCCTGACCCCCATAGGCTAAAACCCCTTGTGGCCTCCCATGAAATTAGTTAGGGAGGAGTTGAGGCTTTAAGGGTCCTGGGTTTTAGGGATTTGGGGCTTTGGGTTGGTATTAAGGATCCGGAGGGGCACTCGAAAAAAACTGGGTTGAGGCTTTAAGGGTTTGGGGCTTTAGGGCTTTAGGGGTTAACGGGGTTTAGGGGTTTTGGAGCTTAGGGGTTGAGGCTCTAAGGGTCCTGGGTTTTGCTTACCTTTGTTTAGTAGGGAATGGAAGGGGCCTTATAAAGGGGTCTATAAGGGTTACTATAACGGATCTATAAGGGTACGATAATATAGGGGCCTTAATAATCCTATATCTTACCTTTTTTTAGTAGGGAAGGGAAGAACGGTAGTAATAGTAGTTATAATTGTACCCCATTCCTCCATTCCCTACTAACCAAAGGTAAGTTTAGGGATTTGGGGCTTTGGGTTTGGGATTGAGGTTCCGGAGGAGCACTCGAAAAAATCTGGGCTGAGGCTTTAATTTTTTGGGGCATTAGCGGTTCAGGGGGTTTAGGGGTTTGGGGTTTAGGGGCTGAGGCATTAAGGGTTGTGGGTTTTAGGGCTTTAGGGCTTTAGGGTTTTGGGGGTGAGGATTTAGGGTTCAGGGGTTCAGGCTTTGAGGATTTAGGAGTTTAGGATTTAGGGTTCAGGATTCTGGATTTAGGGGTTGAGGGGTTGGGGCCTGGGGATTGAGGAAAGGGTTGAGAAGGATGAAGGGACAATACCATTCAGCAAGTCTCGGGTTTAGGGTTTAGGGTTTGGGTATAGGAATACGAGGTGATTGTGAGGATGTGGAGGTTTCGATCCTTGGGTTGGACTAAGGTTTATGGTTTAGGGTAGGGTTTAGGTTCGGGTAAGTCTCGGAGTTTCAGAGTTCCGAGATCCGGTTTTCTTCAGTTACTTATAGTCTCCATTGTAGGTCCTTCTGTTGGTTCAACCAGTCTTATTTTAGAAATCATTGGATCTAGAAAGGTAACACAATAAAAGGAACTACGATGGAGGCTGTAGGTAACTCAATCATGATTGTTCAGCCTGTCAGCCCGAAAGCTACCTTTCTGAACTACACTTAACCTTAATCCGAAACAACGGAACCCTAGCCCAGCAGTTTACATACACGAAAAACGCAAGCCCCAGACCCTGGACCCAACGCCTTGTACTGAATAACCAGAACGATCCCCACCCCAAACCCTGCACCCGCTCCTGCGTGGCACCCGCCCGTGGCGTCGCTCGCGCGGGGCTAGCCAGGCCACGAATCGGCACGTCGCCACGCTTCGGGTGATCCTGCGCCTCGGACACTACCAAAACGGAACATGCCTTGGGATATAGTAGCTAGGTGGGGCTTCTAAGGCCTATGATGGAAAGGCTGCGTCCTTACTTGAAGGCTATTGGTAGGCTTGCAATCGAGAACCTGCCATGCGAAATAGTCCGGTAATTATGGGAGTATGGCACGCTCCCAGGATTAAGAACATCTTCTCCCAGAGACTCCATAATCGGGGTTGTCCCTTGCTACAGCAAGCAACTAATCTAGACGCCTAAATCACTAGTAGAAGTATTCCCTTCTGGTCCCTATAGAAACCCGAATATACCTCTACTATAGTATACACCAAACCCTATTCTAATCATTAAGGCCCCTACAACTTATTGTATGGTAAACAACTTCAAGGAACCTCTTATGCTCAGACCAAGAGCAAAATAGGGTCGGAACGATGCGTCAAAATCTTCCCTTTATAGTCCCTACTTAAAGGATCATGGGACTTAGTAACTAGGGTTATAAATAGGGTAACTATACTGTTATAACCCTATGTAGGGTACTTATAACCTTACTTACTAAATCCCATGATCCTCCAAGTGACATAGAACCGCCCCAACCCTGCTGTTGATTAGTCAGGCCCCTAGATTGTGTGGAAGTTCGAAGCTGGGACTGTTCATCATGGCAACTCGACACATAATCCTACACTCTACACCCCAGTGATCTCATAGGGCTCTTCAGCTGGCACGCCATGTGCTTTGGCCCGAAGCCGAATTCAGTGCATGGAGAGTTTGTTCAGCCCTAAGCTTCCTAAGACGAGGGCCGTCATACTTAGGAAAGGGCTTCTGGGAGTTCGATTACCTGGAGGATCATGGGACTTAGTAAGCAAGGTTATAAGTAAGGTAACTATAGTTCCATCTACTTAGAACCTTAAAAAGGGTACTTATAACATACAACCTTACTTACTAAATCCCATGATCCTCTAACTAGGGGCAAAGAATCGGGACGGCTACGGATGCACAACAACTGGAACTGTCTGAGGAACTGTCGCACTTCCGGCTAGAGTAAAGTTCTGGGGCCCTGGGTGCTTTACGACTTGGGAGTTTAGGGCTTACGTGTTTCAGTCTCTATCATAACCCCCTCCTGATCGAAGCAATATGGAGCTCTTCGTACTCATTCCCTACGGTCCCTTCTTGCACGTACAAAACGATGTACTCTGAAAGCCATAGCCCCTAAACCCAAAATCCTAAACCCTGAAACCCTAAATAAACCCTGAACCCCTAAATCCCAAACCCTCAACGCCCAAAACTCTGAACTGACTGCTCAGGGCTCCCATCTTACGCCCCAGATCTTCGCCTGGGTGGGTGTCGACGTCGGGCCCCTCACGGCCCAGTCGCCCAGCTGCGGCAAGGGCTCCTGCTTTCCCTAAACCCCTGAACCCTAAAACACGGAGCTGTAACGAAACCCTGAAAACTAAACCTAACCTAGCGGGCTCAACCATAAACCCAAACTAAACCCTGAACACTAAACCCAAACCGAACTTATCGGGTGTGGCTTCGGCTTCTCATTGGAGCCTTACTGGTCAAGAAATTCAGGAAAGAGAGACAAAGACGAGAGTTTAGGATGGAGGGCAGAGTACTTCAGCATGCAGGTAAGAGGATATATGGACATAGGGTTCAAAGCTCCAGAGGCATATATGCCAGGTTACCAGTCATAAACTATGCAGCCCGGGAACCTGTTCTTCGGCTCAAGTACCGCCCTGTGCAAACCCAAAGCCCTGAACCCACAACGTTAAATCAGCCGACAACCTCCAAGGCCCAAACCCGAGACAACCACCGAAAGTCCCAAAGCACCTAGAGCCAGAAAAGCCGCAAAGGAGCCTTAAGAGGGGCCCTTAAACATAACTCTTCCAGGAACCCTTAGGGAAAAGCCCTTACCGCAAGCCTTTACCGAACCTGCGAAGGAACCCTCAAGGAATCCTTTGAAAGAGCCCGAAAAGGAACTCCCAAAAGCCACCCCAAACCCACATCCCCTAAACCCGAACAAAACCGCAAAACCCAGAACCCGGCCCGAAACAGCCCCACGACCCTAAACAGCCCCTAAACCCTGAACGGCCACAAGGAAAGGAACCCTTGGACAGACCTTTTAAGGAACTCTTATAGTAACCCTTTTAAAGGAACTCTAAGCCCCAAACCGCAATACCTGAATCCCTAAACCCTAAGCACTAATCCCTAAACCCTAAAACCCTGAAGCCTGAATCGCTAAACCTTAAACCCTGAAAGGAACCCTAAAAGGAACTCTAAACCCCAAACGGACCACCAAAAGGACGTCAGGCGGCCTCACGCCTCGGGCTGCGGCTCAACGACCGCTTTGCCTGGCCCAGGGAGTTCCTTCCAAGGTTCCTCTAAGGGTTTAGGGTTTAGGGTTTAGGGTTTAGGGTTTAGGGCTTGAAAAAGGCTTATAGGGTTTAGGATTTAGGGTTTATCAGGTTTGTAGTGTTTAGGGCTTAGGGTTTGGTTGCTTCAAGGGCTTCCTGTAATTAAGGGATTCCATAGGGGCTCCTTCAGGGGGTTCAGAAGGGTTTAGGGTCTGGTGAGGGTGAAGGAGTGTACCCGTGGTTCTGGTAGGCTGCTTGACAGGGTCCGCATCATTCCGCGGGGTGATGAGACAAAAGACTGGTTCTGGCTCGGGTTCTGTACTGGAGTTCTTCTGCAACATACCGTACCCTGAACCTTCGAAATCTTAAACCCTAAACCCAAAAACCAAAGACCCAAGCCCCAAAACCCGAAACCTTAAACCCTACACTTCTTAAAACCCTAAACCCCAAAACAATCTCATGGCAGACCTGGCTCGGGCTCGGCTGCATCGGAGTGAAAGGTGGCGGTGCCAGCGCAGGGGCTGCTGGAGACTCCGACACCTGCTTAGAGACCCAATTACTATTATTATTGTTATTATTATTACTATTATTATTATTGTTAATATTATTGTTATTATTATTATTATGTTGTATATTTGTTTGATTATTAATAATGCAATATAACATGTTAACGTTATCCGGGGGGACTTAGTAAGTAGCCTATAAGTAGAGTTATAAGTACCCTAAATGGAGTTGTCCCAATGATAACCCTACTTCTAACCGACTTACTAAGTCCCCGGGCTTCTAAGTGTGGCAGCTCACGTACTGAGCTACGAAATTGGGCTACGGACAAGCAACCCTGCTTTGTTTAAGGGCATAAATATCAGGATCCTGAATCTAATCGTATGAAGGAAAAGGGGTATGTTAAAATACTGGTGTCTACACTAATGACATCGCACCCAAACATTAAGCCCGAACGCCCAAACCCTGAACCCCAAGCCCCCAAGCCGCTAGCCCGAACCCCTTTCCATGCCTTGGGAGGAAGGACTTGGCTGGGACTCAACAGCATCGGGGTTGGCGGTTGCAGCGCCACCGCAGCGAGTGCCTGGAAATTGAACTCTTGCTGCTATTTGCCTCGTGAAAACAGGGTCTAAACTCTGGGGCCTAGAGCTCAAACCCGCAACCCTACACCCGAAACCCCTAAATTCTACCCCGCCCCTCGCTACACCCTACACCCTAACACCCCCCCTCATCTTTGCAACCTGATCCCATGCGTTCTCGTGGCATTGCGGACGCAGGCTTAGGTTTGAGGGCGTTCGCTTCGGCCTCTGTGCTGACGAGTCTGTATGGTTTAGGGTTTCGGTTAAGCCCTTATGGTTCAGAGCTTAGGCTGTTTATTGTTTCGGGTTTAGGGTTTAGCTTGTGGGTTTAGGGTTTAGGTTGAGGGTTTAGGGTCTATAGGGCCTTAACCCCAAACAGTAAACCCTAGACATGGGTGTGCTTATTTCTGTACCGGCACGTTCTAGTACGAATCACTGTACGTGGTTACTTACGTACTTACTTCATGGTTCGTTGCGTTCGTCTATCTTTGTGTCACTATACATAGCGTGCATCTGTGTGCACATACATACATACGTATGTATGTATGCATGCATGCATGCATGCATGGATGGATGTATGTACACACCTGTGTATATAGATGTATATGTAATGTACCACTTATATCTGTGTGTGTATATATGTCTTATATAGAGTATACAGATAACTGTACAGCCCGGTACTAGGTGTGCGTGTGTTAAAAAACTTCAGGGAAATCATAACAGTGAGAGCATAGGTGGCATGAGAACCTTTACAGACCCCTAATGGAACCTGCGTAGAACCCTCTTACACTCACATAGAAACCTTAAAAACTGCAAGCCGAGCCATTGAAACCTCTGCGAGGTGAGCGCAGAGACTTTGACGCCAAATACGGACTAAAGTGTCATCCCACTCGCGTTGTTTGCATGAATGGGTCTTCGGTGCCTCGGCAAATAAATGGGTCTCAGTGGCGCTGTTACTTAGGATGATTAAGTTCCTGGGGTGGCTCGACTGTTGGTTTAAGCCTGCAGGAAGCGGAAACCCTAAAACCAAAACCCCAAACCTCTACATGAAAGGCATGTTGGGCCCGGAAACTTGCCGCAATGCAGACCTCTGGTTCTACAGCCCACTCTCCGGATAAAGAATATAATATCGGAGCCTTTCCACTCAGAATAGGGCCTTGGGGGTGAAGTCATACCAAGAAGCCCTACGACATGATACTGGTGAGGACTATTCAGGCTTCTCTGTTAGTGAGGATCCGATCTTTGAGGCGCTTAAAGAGAGGAGATTTATTGGGCAGGGGTCCGCGGTTTGGGTTCAGGGTTGAGGGTTCAGGATTGAAGGAGTTTAATGTTTAGGGTTTAAGGTCTAGGTTTTAGGGCTTAGGGCTGAGGGTTTCGGTCGAGCTGCCGGCTCAACAGCCATCTCATCATCGAGCAATGCATCTTCGTCGATGTCCTTCAGACTCCGTTCGGGCTTTGGAGTTGAGGGTTTTGGGTTTTGGGTTTTTGGCTTTGGGGTTAAGGGTTCGGGGTTCAGGGTTTAGGGTTTAGGGTCTAGGGTTTAGGGTTTGGGGTTTCGAGTTTAGGAGTTGAATCTAACTCTAAACCCTAAACCCTCAACCAATAAAACCCTAAACACATGTTTGATTTTTTGCAAAAACACTAAACCCTAAACCTAACTCGAACCACTCAAGCACGGTGAGCAGCTGCTGCACCACGGACTTGGGGGTCGGAGCTTAGAGCTTTCAAGGGCTTTAGGGGATTTGGGGCTCAGGGGTTCAGGGGTTTAGGGTTTTCAAGAGGCTTAGGGTTTAGGGTTTAAGGTTTTAAGAAGTTTGAGGTTTAGAGGGGTTTAGGGGTTTATAGGGTTTTAAGAAGCTTCGGGTTTAGGGTTTAGGGCTTCAGAAGTTTAGGGTTCAGGGTTTAGGGTAAGTAGGGTTTTAAGAAGTTTAGGGTTTAGGGGATTTGCGGCTCAGGGGTTGGGGGTTTAAGACATGGGGCTTCGGGTTGCTGATGCTTTGATTATCCAGGCTCTCGGCACTCTCGGCTTCGTTTCGGGTTTCAGGTTTGGGGTGCGCTTTAGGAGCCTGAATATATATATATATATATATATATATATTAAGAGGATCACTTTTGTGTCCCGAGTGCCTATATAGCCATCACGCAATATACCCCAAACCCTGGTCTCATTATTCAGAGCCCCACCTTAACCCCAACTAACCTACCTTCAAGGAGTTCCTCATCATGAAATCCTTGTATACTTCAGTCCTTAATGTAATACTGGGTTGTGGTTTAAACCCTTTGAAAACTATTTATGCATAGGTTCCCTTTATAAGGAAATAAGGGAAATTAAAAATTACCCCAAAGCACAACCCAGAATACAAAAAACGCTAGGCAGGGTCCAGGCAAGAATCTTCAGAACCCAAGGCCCAAAACCTCCCGAAACACAACAGAAAACCAAAAGCCCCAGTCCCCAAGAAAGGTCCTGTTTTTGCCGGGTGCCATACAATTTGGGGGACCTACAAAGGGCTAGAGAACTACCTTATGGAACCATGATAGAAAGCCTTATCAAGCCGTGTTTCCATAGATCAGTAGCCCCTCAATCATAAGGGTAGTACCACTTCTCCTACGCTTCGTTTTGGCAAAGGGAACGCAAACAGAAAAAGTGCAAAAGCGCACCACCCGGGAACCCAAACCCTAAACATTAAACGAGCACTTACGTATCATCATATATGAAACCGCAGGTCCAGGGCGGAGTCGTTGGCCCAGGCCATGTCGGCAGCTCGACGACGCGCGGGGTTGCGTATATGCTCTTTCTTCTTGGTTTTGTGGTTTGGGGATTGGGGTTTAGGTATGGCCTTCTGTGCTTGGGTGTAATTATGATTTTTGTGGAAATGCAGGGGGCTCAGGGTGAGGCGTGCAAGCTGCAAGAGCTGTAGGGCCGTAGGTTTTGGATTTGGTGGCTGGGATTGGGAGTCTGGGATTCAGAGTAGCAGGTTTGGGGTCGGGAAGTTGGGCTATCTCCGTGCCCTTTTTGAGATACCATGACGTGAGATGTGCTCTGAAACCGCGATTGAGCCTGGAGCCCTCGCAAGCGCCTGCTTCGGCTTGAGGTTTCTGGGGCGTAGAGCTCGACATTTAGGGGGTAGGAGGTAGAGTGGTGCCCCGCGGAGTGAGCCATGACTCAAGGTGAATGAAAAAGGACTTCGGAGCTGGGCCTTTGAAGAAGCTATTGACCGGCTTATTTGAGAACTGCGGAGTTTCCATGGAACTTCTCATATCAACTCAGCTCAATAGGCTTAAGGCGCGAAGTGAAAAGCCAGGACTAGGTTAATGTCGTGTCGCTCAACCTGCAGTCCCTGTTTAATCTGCTACACCTCCCACCCCAAGCCCCTACAATAGCAAACCTGATACTAGTTCTTCCAAAACCCACGATGAGACAAACCCTTGTACTCAGCCAGCCGGCCAGCCGTGAAATTTTTGACCATTGGCTACACCTCACCCAGTCTCTTTGAAGGGGGATGTAGCCGACAGGGTTTAGGGTTTAGGGTGTCTGAAAAAGTTCGTGCTGCAACTGAACTCGCTACACCCGAAATCTAAACCCTAAACCCCAACCCTAAACTCTAAACCCCTAAACCCCCGTAAACCTCCCCTTAGAGCAGATCTTCTAGCAGATCCTCGTCTGCGGAAACCTCCGACTCTCGGGATCCTTGCAAGAAGCACCAGCAGACCGCAGACGGGATAGTAGACCTGGCCCGGGGTTTAGATTACCGGGGCTAAAGTTTATGTTGGCTTTAGGTTCTAGGGTTTTAGCGGGTCTCGGTTGTAGGGCTTCGGCGGCTTAGGGTTTAGAGCTTCGTGTGTAGGGCGGCAAAGACAGATCCTCTCCGCGGTCAAAGCTTCCCAGTTGCTGCCCTCTGTCTTTTGGTCTGCTCAAGGTATTGCCTGAACTTTCACGGGCACTGGGGCTCCATAGAGGTGTTTACAGAGTTGTATATCGGTACGATAGGATTCGTTGTGGTTTCTATAGGGGTTTCCGTTATTGGGTACTATAATTACTATAATACTATATGCTCCGTCGATATGTTTGGCAGATGTAGTTTCGGGGTCCAAGCAACAATGCAGGTTCATTCTTACACCGTCGCTCCGTGCACAGGCTGTCTACCAAATGCTGCTTGAAAGACACTTGAGTTGGGATTCCCTAATATTATGCCGATTTGAAGATATCACCCAAATCCTCACTGTACTACTCTACTTGTTCAACTCCTGGTCGTGTCCGCATGCTCTAAACTCTATGCCCAAGGCTCGAAGTGGAAAACCTCTGAGGGCCCCGCCCACAGCGGATTCGGCCAGCCGAAAGAGTACAGGATCGGGTTGAAGGAAGCGACGCCCTCCGTTTCCAGAGATTTCAATCAATATAGGGGGGCCTTGCTAGTTTGAATAGGGTGTTGGGTATACCACGGTTGATGATACAAATCCTGCACTACCCATAATAAGGAATATACCACTATTCCTATAGTTTAAGGTCCTTAAGGTAATGCAGGATTTATATCATCAACCGTATGGTCCCCTCCTTCATCTAGATTCCTGAGTAGCCCCATTATAATAAGGGTACACTTGTTCCTACTATCCGGCGTGAATAAGGGACCAAGAGGGTACCCCTCAGGAATCCAGCCAGAGGGCCCCCTACTTGGAGGATCATGGGACTTAGTAAGTAAGGTTATAAGTACCTTAATTGGGGTTATAAGTATAGTTACCCTAATTATAACCCTAGTTACTAAGTCCCATGATCCTTTAAGTATGAACCCCTGAAACTGAAGGGCTTTAGGACTTTTAAGCCTTGGGCTCCCAAAGTTTCTGTGTGTTGGCTTTAATCCAGATTCCGAAGGCTCCATTACAAGGTGTGATAAGGTTTCATTGAGGTTTAAGGTGTCGAGTTTTGCCAAGGTTTATAGAATGGCCCTTAATCGAGGCTCTCTCATTGAGGATCCCTGATCCGATTTCCCGGAGCCTCCTGCATGCAGGGACCCCCGAAAACCCCTAAAAACAACGATGAAGCCTAAAATCCAGCCCCTAACTCCTGATCTCTTGGACCCCAACCCTAAACCCTAAACCCTAAACCCCAAACCCTAAACCCTAAACCCTAAACCCCAAACCCTAAACCCTAAACCCCAAGCCCTGAAGCCCGATCTCTAAAGCCCGGGGAGAAAACGCAAACAGCGACCCCGGGTCCGGGATTTAGACTTCTTGGGTCTGGTGGCATACTTGGAGGTTCATGGGTAATTCGCCATAAGCAGGGTTCATAAGCAGGGTAACCACATTCATAAATCATATTAGGGGACTTGTATTATATGACCCTACTTATAACGAGCGATCACGTGTAGAGCTGGGTGGTTTTGGTTTGGGATTGGGGTTGAGGGATGTGGCAGGTTCCACATGGCTGCATTTTGTCTGAAGGGGGGTTTATATGAGAAGCATCATACTAACCGCACAGAAGGATACTGCTCGTGCATGTACATGTTTTAAACCCTAAACCCTAAACTCTAAACCGTGAGGGAAGCGCTTAATGGTTTGTCTGGCTGTCGGCGAAGTTCGAGCATGAAGCCTGGGGCTCTGATTTCTGCAGTGTGATGTGCGTTAGGGTTTAGGGTTTAGGGTTTAGGGTTAAGGAATTTAGAAACTTGGCATGCGGACTTTTGGAACTGCGGACCACGAAACTGATTGAGAAACCCTAGTCCATAAACCCTACACCCTAAATCCCAAACCCTAAGGCCTGCATGCCTGGCGCTTTCTTCTTAGGGCAGGGCCATGTTTCCCAGCATTCCGGCCAGCATAGAGAAGACCTCTAACGCTCCAGGGAAGCCCACTGAAACTACTGTTGATGATATAAATCCTGCATTACCTTAAGGACCCTAAACTATGGGAATTATGGTATACTCCTTATTGGGTCATGCAGGATTTATATCATCAACCGTAGAGGCGTCCCAATGAGTGTTTAGGGGTTGAGGGTTTAATGCTGAGGGTTTAACGTTTAGGGTTTGATGTTTAGGGTTAAGGGCTTTCATGTCTTAGGGTTTAAGGCCTGAGGTGTGGGAAATCAATACCTACTGCAAGTTAGAACAGGAGGGGATTGAAGTATCGGAAGACAAGGTTTGGGACCATTCATGGAAGAGGCCTCAACCATTACAATCGCCTAATAGGTACATGTTAATATGTCGATTACTATTGCAGGGTTTAGGGTTTAGGGTTTAGGGATTACTATTGTAGCAGGACTCCAGTAGGATCCAATTCAGACCTTCATATTACGTAGCTAATTGCACTCCGAGCACATCTTCTGCTCAGGGATGACGTTGCGTGCACACAACATCTGACTCCTAAACCCGAATCCCTAGCCTAAGCCGGGTTTGAAGATATGATCGTATA